AGACGTTTATAATTACTAAATTTTAGTCAAATTTGACCGGCTTACGATTGGTCATTTCAAAATCACCTCGCTGTGGTAATGGTAAAATATAAAGAATCATTATTAGACGCCAAAAAAAACCACACTCACTTAAATTTCGATTACACAGTCAGACGTTCTGCTTAGTGGGCAACAGAGACTAGGTTAACAGGCCCCAAGGCATGTGCTAGGTTCATATGAGGCTGGCAGAAAAATAAAATTTTATTAGCGTGAAGAATTTTGCTTGCTAGAAGTACCCCACCGTAAAACTGTCATTGTTTCTCAGAACTGTTGCTACAGAATTGAACTTAAGGAAAACATTTACGTTATTGTTTCAAAGTCTTTGAATAACAAAAATGAAATGAATTGTTGTTTACAGTTAGGCTTACAATAGTCTATTGTCAGGCAAATTTTTTTAGAGTTCCCAAGAGAAGGTTATGAATATGTAATTAAGGTTCTAGAATTGTTTCATTTGGGGCCAAAATGCGAACTTCGTACAAACTAACGCTAAAAATCTCTCTCTTCGTCGCTATCATATCGGGTGCTTTTTCCAAAGGTTGGAAAGAAAAACCCTTTTACGAAGACTGCAAGTATGGTGATGTTTTATTAGTCGGTCTCTTCAGTCTTCACAGGAAAACTGCAGACGATGAATGCGCTACTTCATTGAACATTCAGGAGTTTGCTAATGCACAAGCTATGGTTTACGCAATTGACCAGGTAAATAAGAGCCCGTATCTACTTCCGAATATAACACTGGGCTATCGGATTTTTGACACCTGTGGAATTCCTTCAAGAGCAAACGCCATGGCATTCTCATTGGTGACTGATAACACTCCAACCGAACGCGGTGATGTGTTTAACGCAACCACTCCAGACGAACAGGTTTTCAGCTCATGCCTCGTAAATGTTTCAACTCGTCCAATCGCAGCGGTCATTGGTCCGAGTGATTCTGCTAGTTCAGTTGTCGTGGCAAGTATGCTACAAGCTGGGAACACGGCACTTATCAGTCCTTCGGCAACAAGTGACGAGCTAAGCCTACCTTATTACGAGACATTTTTCCGCACTGTACCCCCGGACAGTCAACAAGCCGTAGTAATCAGTGATGTCATCAACTATTTCAATTGGACTTACATTTGGGTAATCGGTAGCGACAGCTCTTACGGAAGATATGGCGTAAGAGCTTTGGAGCACGTAGCACATGAGCGAAACACTTTCTGTATTCACAGCATAGATTACATCCCTTCCGCAAATTACGAAAACAAAATTCAGAGAATCGTCACAAGGTTGAAAAAGGCAACCACTGTCAAAGTCATCTTGCTTTGGACGGGAGGCATTTCAACTCTTCATTATTTCTTCCAGGAATGTTACAAACAGAAATTGTTTGATCGTACTTGGATCGCTCCGGATGGCTGGTCAGAAGCAACTTCTGTGTTAACATCCTTATATTCTCTTGAGTACAGTGCAGTCATCGGAACTACTTTTCGCCGTTTCAACGCATCCGGCTTCGAAGACGATTTCGTGTCTATCAACGCGTCTTCACCGCGCTTTCAAAATGAATGGTCGAAAGAATTTTGGCAACAAGTGAACAACTGCTCTCAGTTTCCTTGGAAGGGTTGCGGAGATCAGCTGACCAGGATAAACGAGGATTTATTTTCAATCATGCACTCTACAACCTCAGCTTACGTCATTGATGCGGTTCAGGCTGCTGCGCATGCAATTGATGCAGTTTACCGCTGCCAACAAGGCCCATACAACTTGTCTAAAACCACATGCCCACTTTCAAATGCTCTCGCCGACAATGTGTTACGCTTTCTGAGGAATGTTCAATTTCAAGGACTGACGGGTGATATTAGCTTTAACGAAAACGGGGATTCTCTGCGTTCAGTAGCATACGATATCGTCAACTACCAGCTCGTTCCAGGGGAAACTCCTATTCTTAAACAGGTGGGAACCTGGGGTGGATTTAATGAGCAGAGATTACAGCTTCAGAGGGAGCTGTTAGTGTGGAACAATGGCAGCAAGGTTGTTCCATCTTCTCGTTGCAGTGAGTCGTGTCCTCCAGGTACGAGACAATCTGCAATCATGAATTGTTGCTGGGAATGTATCCCTTGTCGGTCTGGCTCAGTAAGTACAAGTTACAGCTCAACAAACTGCACGGCTTGTTTAGCAGATGAAAAGCCCAATCAAGGCAATACAGCGTGTGAGCCTCTTCCGCTGAATAATTTATCTCCTGATGATCCTCGAGGCATCGGCTTATTAGTGGCTGCGGCAATTGGTGTCATCCTTACTTTACTAACGTTTGGAGTATTTGTGAAATACCGTACAACTCCGGTAGTAAAATCTTCAAATCAAGAACTCAGCTATGTGTTTTTGCTGAACATTTTTGTAGCTTTCTTGGCAGCTTGCTTTCTCATTTTTAAGCCGACTCCGTTTTTATGCACGGCATACATGTTCGTTGTCCCAATTTGCGTCAACATTAGCCTCTCAATTTTGTTTCTCAAAACTGCTCGCTTGCTTCATGTATTTGATTTCCAGGGGGCTGCATCGTCGAAGTCTTGCTGGATTTACAACAGAAAGTATCAGTTTATAGCTCTTGGATCTCTTAATATTTTACCTGTGGTTTTCATTATCATCCTCCTATTTTTTGAACCTCCCAGCGTTCATGTAATTATAGTACCACTCCATCATAAGACTATTACGTGTGAACACAATGAGTCTATCGTTGGAGAGATAATTCATGTTACTATATATGCATACGAACTTTTTTTGTCGCTGATGGTGACATGTTACGCTTTTAGAGCTAGAAAACTGCCAAGCAATTTCAAAGAGACAAAGTACATAGCTTTTACCATGTATATTCAGTTAATCACATGGGGCCTTGTAATAGCCATCTTTACAAGCTTAAAGACAGAGAGGACTCGAACGTTTTTGAACTGTTGTGCTCAACTTTGTAGCGCTTTTAGTTTTCTGCTTTGCAATTTCGCACCAAAGCTTTTCATTATTCTGCTACACCCGGAGAAAAATACACCTGAGTTTGTGAAAGCTGCCCTTACGCGAGATACGATGGCAAAAATGATGTCAAACACATTTCATCGATCCAGGAGAACGGTATCCGAGCCACCTCCCTTGTCGTTAGAGAGCAATGGTAAGCCTACATTGGTCAAAGATGTAAATTTAAACGAGTCTAACGGCAAAAGAGCTCCGAGGAGATTTACGTGGGACAGTCCTACGACAATACGTGATCAAATGACGCATAGAGATGTTGTGGAGTTGCACATGCGTAATGGTATCTCGCCAACCCATGTAAATAGGGCATCTTCAGAAAGTTGTGGAAAGGGAATTCTAGTAGAATCAGGAGATTGCAACACAGGAAACGATGGAGAATGCGCATTTCATAACACTGCGATGACTATGAACAAGTTGGAAAACCCTGTGACTCTAAGAAACGAGGATTATAAAAGTGTGGTCGAAGATACTTCCTTGTGACTACCCTTTCTAGACTTTCCGTAACACATTTTTTCCAATTTTGCTGGGTATTGTGGCGCTTTTTGCGGGCTAAAATGGAGATTTTGGTACATTTTAGCCCGCTTGCACGCTCACGTGATCGTTACGATTCTTTTTGTTATCAATTTTTTCAGTTTTTATTTTCACGATACTCTCCGAAAAAACGAATAAAGATACCGTAGCAATACAGTTTATGTTCTTAAATATGAATACGTTTTGGCCAAACGGCTCGGGCTAAAATGACTCTGAGTCGAGCCTCAATATAGCAGGTAATTTAGTGTTAACAACTGTGTTGAAAATGTAAATCTTTTTTTCTATTAATGAAGTTATTTTATAGTGCTTTCTTTTCTTTTGGTTTATTTTTAAGTATTCATTATGAACGGGTTTTTACGTGGAAACACTTCAAAAATCTTGTTTGATACAGTCTCCAACTGTAACTCTCGCTTAGTCTGTAGGAGTAGTTTCACCTGTTAACCAGAAGTTCGGACTGAGAAGAAGCGAAAAAAAAAGGGAGGAAACCGAAATACAGATTTCGGACAAATAAACAAAAACTGTAAAGATACTGTTTCATTTTCTTGAATGGCTCCTGATGCATCAAATATCAGAGCTCAGATTGTAGTGCAGAATCTGACAATGTCGATTTTACATCTTACTGACACAGAATGGTCATTAAAGACAAGCGTGACAAAGGTGTGACAAAAGTTAACGCATAAAATTAAGTCAGTTCGGTCAACTCTTAAAGGTGCTCTTCGTTCCCTTCCCAAAAATTTTTTGCAATCGCTCTATGCTTTAATAGAGTCGAGTGGTCTACTGAAAAGTTACTGTCAACTTACGCTGTTTAATTTTCGGTTGAAATATTTTGTTTTGCCATTTACTGCCCTTAAAAGTTTTGAAAAAAAAAAAAATAAATAAAAGTTGGCGTCAATCATTAGCGTGAGACAAGATGGACTCTGTCTTTGGTTTTCTATGCAAGAAACGGAGTATAGATGTAATTCTCTCTTTAATCAGTTAGCCATTCGTTCGGGGGAAAGTGAATTTTCATCACTTTTGGAGTTATTAATAAACTGTTCGGGGATGGTTTTACTTCAAGAGGTCTATAATAGCTTTGGAAACTCAGCGGCAGTAAAAGATCAGAAAAAATTGACTCAGGTAGAGCTGTTCCCTTTCTATGTACAATTTAAAAAGCATGTCGTTGGACACACTAAGGTGAGTGAAGTTTATTGAGAGCACGTAGCGCGCGTGCCCTCCCAGGAGGTGCGCCCGTGGCTTCAAACGAGGTGCTCGCGCGCAATAGAGCACTCCAGTGTTTGTGACGCAACAAATAAAATGATTTTACTTAAACTGTTAGCAAGATAAGAGGACACGGACAAGACAAGTTACTTCTTATTGGCCTTAAAAAATACTCTCGGCGAGGGAAGACTGGATGCCGTAAACATTTCGCTGCCCTTTTCTATTGCAGGCTCAAGTGGAATGACATCTCTTAATTCCCGCAACAATGTTCTGAACTTTGAAAGGGATCTTTAATTTTCAATTGAAATCATGGATTTTGACTGCGAGTCTGACAACACAGATGACATTTATGAAGTGGAAAGAATACTTGAAGCGAAAAAGAAGGTAAGTTGAAGTTGTCTGTGCCGTGAACTATTCGGCATTCTGTACAACGCGATAAAGTATTTATCGGTCATGCATACATAATTTCAGCCTGGCCGGCCGAATGTTCATTAAACTTGAATGATGTTTCAGTCGATCTTTGTATTAAACCGAATGTCAAACTTAGCTCATGAACATACCCTACAGCAAGATTACCTGCCATTTTTCCGGGAGAAATCCAATTGGGAACTGTTAATTCTCAGTAATCGAGGCTATTGTAGTAAGGTAGTGTCGCAATGCAGGTTTGACAGGAATTAAAGGGACTCTTTACCTCACGCGACGAAGGAAGTTTGTTAACTTTAAGCAAACACGCTAGACAAATCCCCCACAAAATTTTGTCCTTGAGAGATGGCAGGTGAATATCGGGATATTTACTGATCGGGAAGTCTCTGATGTTTGTAATATCGACCTAGGTAGTGTCATGCCTGTGTGTTTCTGTATTTCTTGTCTTCCGAAAATATAAGTCAGCATCGCAGATCTATCAGTATGTAGTGGGGAAATTTCAGATATTGTTCAGGTTGCACTGGTATTCAAGGCATGAAGACCCTCAATTGATATTTTTTAGTTCGTTTTTACCGCTTTATGTTTAAACAAGTCTCTTTTAATATCAATTGATATCGTCTCTTTAGGGAGGGATAAAACTGTCAAAATTCTTTCCTTTTCCCTCTGCAAAGGCCTGTCAAAGGTAGTGTGGGGTTTTCAGTTTACAATCCTCCAGATGAATTTGGAATGAATGAATACATCAGTATGTATATTCTCCATACAGTTCTCCGTGTATTTCCTGAGGTGCTAACAAGGAGAATTTGTTTAACAATCAAGAGCTTCTTTAGTTGTTGATCATTTCCTTTATTCTCTGGACCTTAATGTGTGATTCAGGGATGATATTGAAATTAGATTCCAATGACTCTGAGGGGCCAAAGAGTTAACAGACTGTGAGGAGATCAAGAGACTTGTTGTGTAATTGGAAAACTTTAGGATTACCTGGGAGTGTTAGTATACAAATGGAGCTGATGAGTTATTTGTCTTATTTAAGGCAAAGGAAAATCATTTCATAACCTTCTGCTTAAACAATAAAGATGCTGCAATCAAAACATTTTAAAAACCATTTAGACAATTAGTGTAGAATAGTCTGGTTTTAGAATTTGAATTATGTAGCAATATGGTTTTATGCATTTAGACCAGAATAATTTTCAATGGTGGAAAGCAGTGCAGCCCATAATAGCTGAGAGATTATACATTGGAATTGTTTGGGGTTCATGTAGTTATAAAATAATGTTGATAAATTAGTTTCTCTACAAAAATAATCCCCCATGTTGTGAAAGTTTTGTTTGAGGTGTAAAATATTCCATCTTGAGAGGCAAGAAAGTCTAGATGTTACTGACCAAGCAGATCAGTCAACATGAGCCGGTTTTTTACCAAATCTGCCAACTACTCTGCCTTCTTTAGCTAGTTACTTTTAACATATTTAAGGTTATGCGTTGATGGAAGTTTGCTCCAGAAAAATTTGTACAACAGCCACTTCCCTATTTTTGAGTGGAATTAATTGGAGAATTTACCAGCAACAGGTTAAGAGGAGTGAATCAAGCAAAGATATGATCCTTGAAGGTGGACTGCAAAAAAAAGCTGTTAAAAAATCAGGCTTCAATGGGATTCAAATCTGTTCCTCTCAAATACTAGCCAGTCCCTAAATGCTAACTAAGCTATAAAGACACATGTTGAGAGCAAGATATATTGTACATCAGCTACACTTTCAGAATTTGCTTGAGCCTTTTTTGCCAACTTCATGGAACATTTTGACTGAATTGTTCCCAGGTTAGCCTGTAATCTGATGAAACAACGTGGCACTTGTGATAACCTGGCCACCCAGTATTTCTTGTTCTCCTTCTCCTTTTAAACTTACCCTTGCATAGGAAGAAGAGAAGAACAAAACAAAAAGAAAGGGAAATGTGAGTTGTAAGCCTCCAATAAGTAACAAAATTAGTTGACACATCATATTTGAAGGGTCCTATTTGAAGAAAAACACTCCTGTCTTTGCCAGAATTAAAATCTTTGACAAGACCCTCCTCCCCCTTTCAGTGTTGCTGGTATGTAGCTTAAGGTTCATGGAATTGTAATACAACATTGCTTTGGGGTGAAGGAGGCAAATAGGTGAAATGAACATTGGCTAAAGAGATAAAATTGAAGTGATAGATGGTTGAAAAGGTCAATGTGTCAACAATTTTGTTGCCAATTGTAGTTTGCATGTGCTTGCATGTATCTTTAGCTTATCCCAGTCCCAGTCCCCCTCAATCTCCTTGACAGTGTTCTGGTGTCCATTATGTACCTGGGTGGGAAGAGGCACTGTGTGAGGGTAGTGTCTTTCTAAGCTGATTCTGCCTGTGTCATTGCTGTTCGTACCACATTATGAAATTTTCTTTGATCTATTACCTAAACAGACCAGCAGTACCACAGAATTTATTTATTTGATATGATAAAGAGGAAAAAAATTGTTAATGATAATTTTATAAACTTGAATAGATCATTAGAGAGAACCAATCAAAATGCAGACTTGATCCAGATTATTATAGAACCTAAATGAACCCTTTCACTCCCAAGATTTCATTAGTAATAATAGGAGATTATTGACATTTTTCTTTATTCTCATCACTTGTCTGCATGATATTGAATAGATATAAGAAGGAGATATTCTGTCTTAGTCACTCACAGGACTAAAAGGGTTAACTATTACTGGAAATGTGAAAATCGATTCTAGAACTCTGCACAATCTGCCAAAATATGTATTTTTTTTTAAAATAAAGGTGCTGCTTCATAGATACCATGACTGTTCTTTTTTATGTTTATAAGGATGGTAGAGTGATATACAAGGTGCGCTGGGAAGGCTATGGATCAGAAGAGGACTCTTGGGAACCAAGTGAAAACTTGCTCACTTGTCAGGAACTAGTTGAGAGGTATTGGGTGCAAAGGAAAGAATCATATAAAAAGCGTGGCAGGAAGCCAGTAAGTACTGTACGATAATCAGTTTCATTATTTGTAAGTACAACAAACAATTTTAACAGGGCTCACTGATTCACTTAACTTTCTTGCCATGGTGTAAAATTGCAAAGCTGATGGACATTTATAAGGGAAGATGTGAGGCTTGCATGTGAGCTGCAGTTAAATAAATTGTAGAAATTAAAGAACTATGAAAATTTCAAGCTTTGATCAGAGTTAAACCTTTACCTCCCAAGTGCTAATTAACCCTTTGACTACCAGAAGTGATTAACACTTGACTTCTCTCTATTGTATGCAAACATTATCCAACAAACAGGTAGTGAGAATACTCAAACTTATCAGGTACAAGATATTATCTTGATTGAACATCAAATTCTCATAACCAATTTACAAGGAAATGTATAGCAGCTAGAGAAGAGAATTATCAATCAGATCTTGGGATTTAAAGGGTTAAGAGCTGCTATTAACTGACTTACAGAGCCACATTTGAAGAGTAGGACAAATTCTGGTGGGTTCCTCATTTTTGTAAATGAATCTGGTCACAATCAAATTTTAAACTGGGGATTAGAAAGAAGTGATGATATGATCCTTGCAAGAGAGCTGCATTAACTCATTCACTCTCAAGATCTCAATAGTTCTTCTTGCTGTCTGTCATACAATTCCCCTGCTTTTAGCTTGGAGAATTTGGTGTTGGATCAACTCAATCTCTGAATTTATATTTTTCTGTATTCTTGTCAATTGTATGCTTGACATTGTATCTATATTGTTATGAGAAATTCTTCTTAATCAGTCATGGGTGTAAAAAAATTTCAAAGAAATTGCATGAAATAAGCATGAAATAAGCCTGAAAAACATTGATTCCAGGCCTCAACAGGATTCAAGCTGTTGATGTTAATACTAGTTAGGGAATATTAGTTGCTGTGCTAAGAAGCCACATATTGGCTTTATAACTAAAATTTTCCTCACTCTGAACATGTGGCTTCGAAGCTTAGTTATTAGTATTGCTTCACCAGAATCTAAGAGGTACATGTTCTCATTCAGTGGAAACTTGAATTTCCTAGACTACTTTTCTGCATTCATTCCAGTTGAAGCTCATCAATAAATTCACTGGTGATAGAGAGAGTGCAATACATAGGTTTCTTATGCTCAAGCTGATGTGATCTTTTGGTCGTTTACCCGATGTACTTATCATTATTTGGAATTCTCTCAGATCTCCCTGAGGCTCAACTGATTGTTTGTAAGCCTATTTTTATCGCTAATGGAGTTGTTTCGACTCACTTTGAAAACAGGACCCACAACACATAAAAATAGGTTAAATATAATTGTTTTTTTAACTTATCAATAGGAGCTCGTATGTTTTTCGCATCCGGCGAATAATATGCAAAACCTGTGAGTAGATGCTGAAACCATCATTCTAATCCTTGTACCAAGCAATCCCCTAAGCTTGCGCACATCCCATGTCCAGTGTAGAAGTTTTTCTGTGTTCTTGTTATTTATTTTATTATTCCAAATCGTGATCACCCTCCCCCCCCCCCCCCCCCCCCCCCGCCAAAAAAAAAAGGAAAAAATGAAAAGGTAATCACGAGATGCAACGAATGCATACCGCGCATTCTTGGCCCACGGGGGGTGGGGCGGGCGGTTAATAAAGGGGCCCTCGCTAGCATTAGAAAACAACTCGAACTCTCACTGTAACTTAAATCTTCCGTTCACAGAAGCGGCTGAAAGAAGTAGCGGGAGAAGACAGCGACACTGATGAAGGAAACCGGAAGGTGAGTATTCTTATATTTGTGAACCACGGTTAAGTCGGGATTGATTCTTAGAATGAGTTTCGCAAAGGCAAAATTGGATCGCGTTGAGGAAGTCTGAAAATAATAAATAAAACGAAAAACCAGGACTCACGGGATTTGAAAAGATTTAAACCTGTGACTTAACGTGATAATCATATGATGAGCACATGAGCCCACAATCAACCAACTCCTACTGTCAGTGGACTCATGGTTCTGTTGTTTCTAGCTTCGTAATGGGATTATGGAGTCATAAGTTTAAATACTCCTCCTCAAAGTCCAGAAAATGTTCAGGTGATTCGGTTCTGTGAGCTCTTAAGCGCTGTACGACGAAGCCGCGAGAGGCTTGGGACGAACGATAGTTTTAACGCTTACTGCATTCAAAACCGTAATATGCGCATAAAACTGCCAGCCACGAAGGCCGAAGGTTTTCAAGTATTTATTTGGCTTGTATCAGGCACTATTCGAAACGAGATCTTCTCGTGGTCGAAACTATTTCAGTAACAAAATAATGATAATGTAGCACATAGCACATTAGGTTCAAACCCGCAAATAAATTGATATCGTTTTATGGCAAGCAAAGAAACACAAGCTTTCGAGAAACTGTTACGTGTAGGCCGTCATAGGGTATCAATATCCGTGACAAACATGTGATGTAACATGGCCATGACAGACCTGTTTCAATCACGATCGTTGCATATGCGGACTGTCAAGTATTAAAATATCCTTCAGTGTACATAGTTATATGTTATATCTCAGGTGTTTTCTCTTAAAAACCCTTATCGTAAGAAAATTTCTAGTTAGTCGCTCTTTTAGGCGATTTTCTCGTTCTTTCTTTTCTCTCGTTCTCTTTTCATTGCATCATTTTCTCCTGTTTCGCGCGCATATTTAAAAAACGGTTCTCGTCCGTATCACGCAAGACGCTTTGTGCTCAAACAACGATTTATCTGCCACTGTCTTAATTCACGTTTAGAAGCAGTGACTCTTTTTTGCATTCCAGGTACGTTCTTGTAATTAACCAAAGCAGAAATTACCGACTCCTACGAATCTGCGACGCTGTTGTCTTATGCCAGACTAGCGGTGCAAGTTCGTTTTGTTGTGGCAATTGATTGCATAGTTTTATACAAGTTGTGGAATTAGATTGTAGCAGTTGAAGCGGTCATCAGGAAAGAGTGCTAGTCGAATTTGAATCTTCCGTGAGCACTTGTATTGGTTTTTCATGGATTATCTGAACGTAATAGCACGTACAAAAAAGATCTATAAATTTTTTTTGGAAGACGCTCGATTGTTATCAATAAGAGCGAGGGAATCTAGCAAATGGAATCAAATGGAATCTAGCCATTTGTAGAATGAAATATTTTTCTAAATTTAAAAGCATCAGATAAAAGCCCTCTTAGGTGGAAAGGTTATTTCCTAGCGAAAGAAAATTTTTAAGGATTGTGTTAAACAGTTTAAACAACTCAACAGATTCTCCTTTGAATTTGAAATCAATTTTTGTGTTGTCTCATTTGAATATCATATAATTTAAGCGTGAGTATTTGCTTCCTTTTGTAATCCGGAAAAATAACTAGTGATACCATATCTGCTTTTACTTCTCATACGCCGCGCTCAAAATACTCGATTGAATGGCCTTAGCTTGTATATTTTTGTGATATTCAGATCTTGCTTTTTATGATGTGCATGCGCTTGTAATTTCTCGAGACTTTTCAGACGCTTTCCCCCTTTTTTATCGACAAGATCACGTGCGCTTACAAGGGATGCACAGTGAGGCCTTTGATGATGTAATTAGTTGAAGCGTTGAGGAAAGAGGAAAATGAGTTTACACTGATAGTAGCACTGATACATTGTTCAATGTTATTATTAGGACCAAAACGACGACGACGGTGAAATGAGTACACCTCCAGAAAAACGGAGGCGCGGCCGTCCGCCGAAGAACAGAAGGTTCGAGACTGATAGCGGAGCAGGAACTGAAGAAAGCGAAGGAATCGCTGCTAAGAGAAAACGAGGACGGCCAGCGAAGGATGAAGAACCTTTCCCACAATATGGTCCCTCAGATTATTTACTTCTGGACCTTGATGAAATAGCTCCCTTGGGTTTAACTCGACAAGCTAGTAAAGAATTAGCTCTTGTCTCCCTTCGGAAGAAACAAGAATTTAGTCCTGTTGCGGACTCGGAGATCCAAGATGCTTCGGATGAAACATCGTCAAATACGAAAGAGGAAAGGGATGAGGATTCCAAAGCAAATGAAACTTCCAATGTCGATCCAAGTACAGTTTATTCAGAGCAGGACGACTTCCAAGTTATAGAAATTTCATCCCAAAGCACAGACGATGAGCGGGAAAATCTACCACAGGAATCTGAGCCCGCGATAGAGAAAGAGTGGATTGTGATCTCTTCGCAAAGTGATTCTGAGAGTGAACAGGGAAATTTACAACTGGAATTGTCGAGGAATACGAGGAAGAAAAAAAAAGAGGAATCGAATACCCGGAGTACTGAAACAGAAACTAGCCTTGGGAAGAAGGAAAGGACAACTAAAATGAAAGAATCATTTTCTGTTGAAAATCAGAGTGAGGCGAAGAAAAGCGACAACGATTCTAGTGGTGATAACTTTTCCCCATTAAGTTTTAGTATCGAAAGTCGGACGAAAGCTCTGCAAGGTGAAATCGATAACGTTTTACCTAACCTGGATGATAATGAAATGGTAACAGGAAAAGACTCCGACGAACTAGCGCAAGAAACAGACGTAAACTCGAACGAAGTGAAGTCATCGCTTCTTCGACCTGATGTGTCGTCCAAACTTTCATTGTCGAAAATGCGAACCTTAGGGAAGTCCATGAAAGTGAAGAACCAAGTTGATGAGAGGTTGCGTAACCCCAACGATACTAAAGGAAGCGTAGATTTTTCGCCAAGTCTCGATGCAAACGGAAATTCAAACAAAACAGATGGTGTGTTGAGTTCGGAAACGTCACAGCCACTTTTTCGAAGTTCTATCGACGAAAATAAAATCGATGAGGCGAGGGGAACACAACGGGACACTGACATCTTGGAAATTTCTGCGACGAGATCGTCGCTCGACGGGGACGTGTCGCAGTTGAATAATCGTGTTACAATGAAACGACACGTTGACATGGAAAACCGGATGAAGGGAAAAGCGAAGAGGACAGAAGGACGTCCTAAATCAAGAAGAGAGTTTAAAAGGCCGCTGTTGACAGATAAACCATCTGCAATACACCCAAACTCCAATGGGGCAGGCGGTTCTGCGGGGGTTATGACCGATTCCTTGGGAAAAAAAACGGACAAGCAGCACATTGTCGCCTCTACAACCGCTGCTGATTTATTACCAAGGCAGAATAATACGAAATCGGTTGCTCTCATGGATGGAGATTTGATCGGTGCTATTATTCAGGATAGTGGCAAAGATGATGAAAGTAAAAATAAGCCAGTTACATCGAAACAGAGCAATATTGACGGGAAAACGCATAATGGTACACAAGGTGACGGGGAAAATGGTAGAATTTTGGTAAGTTTCTCTTGGAACGAAATACTATTATTCAAGCATTTTATATTAATGTTTTTTCCCCAATGGGATCACATGCAAATTTTGTCACGTTGTCAAGTTCGATACTCCAGCTTTCGTGTCTTTCCGATTAAAGCAGCGATTCGCTATTAAAACACTAATAGTATCATATGTATTTGAATCGCATCTGTTACGTGGCTCTGATTTTGAATCTCCATCTCTCAACATCGAAGTTCGCTGCATATTTTCCTACACGGATGTTTTGAACTAGAGAAAAATGGACTGATTGAAAAGAATATTTAAATCTCTCTGTCGTATTCGGCAAATTGAGGGTCTGAATCAAATGAATTTTTTTTTTGAAGGGTTTCCGAGAAAAAAATCCATTTTGACGTCAGGTGCTTTATATACTGTCTTCGTGCTTCTTAATTTACATTCCGTTGAAAGACTTATCAGCACATTTTATTCAGGTAATATGATTTGGATAAAAGATCTAGAATCTGGTGGGTAAATAGCGAAAAATAGGGACAATTAATGAATTTCCAATTGAACATGTATTGTTTCAGGAAGAATTTTGTTTTTGTTTTTGTGTGAGTTTGAATTTCCATAAATGGTTTCCACGACTTCTAGTTTCTTGCGATAGAATGTGCTTTTAATCATTTGTGTTGATATTTCACGTACGGCGTATTAAATCATGTGGGACTCTCTTTTGAAATTTTTTTTCAATTTTTGTTGAAAAATAACATATTCCGTTTCCATCAAAATGAACAAAAGGAAGGAAAAATAGGTTTGATCAATGAATGAAAAGAAAGATCGTAAATAAAATTAAGTACAAAGAGATAAAACAGAACTCTGTAATTACATAGTAGCGAGTCGTCATTAAAGGACATTGCTAGAATGATAAAACATGTAGACTAAATTTTTTTTTAATTGTGTCAAGGACTTAGACCCGAGACGTGGACGATTTTGGTTTATGAGGTACTCTACTAAACAATTTGTCGTCTCTTTTTTCACCTCAACTTTTTCGAGTGAGATGTAAGTTGCATCTTCGCAAGGTCGTGTTTCTCATTTGAAAGGACAGGACCTTTGGGAAGGCATCGTGTATTTTTTATCCATTTATTTATTTTTGGGACGAATTGTCCGACCTCAACATTTCGACTGCAATTAACCCAACCGCAGAAAGTAAAGCCTAACAAATGAAATTGGGCATCGACGAGATTTGAACCCATGCCTGTCAGATAGGTTGGGCACTGTCTGCTACCAACTGAGCTACGAAGCGACATGTTCGAAGCAAATTATCCCCTGAGGAGGGGAGAGGTTTAAGCATACCCCGGTTAATACCATAATTCCTTTTCGGTGTGGTTCACTTTCGCAACTATTGAGTGGTCCATCTGATAGGATTATCCACAAGTCAGATATTGCTCATTTCAAATATTCCGTTGTTTACTTGTTTGCTCTTTTGTTGGTAACAGGACAGCGGAATGGAAGACATTTCAGAAGGAGAGGATGATCTAAGTGATTTTGAGTTCGACTTGGATGACTTTTCGCCACATTCTTTCTTTAACGAAGTCGAGGTAAGCCAAACTTACACCAAAAAGGCAACATGAAACTGTAGATATGGACCAAAAAGAAAGCCAAAGTGGTTTTTCCATTTAGAGCCGCGCATGTTGATTATATTCCTTAAGTATAATACTTACCCATATCAATGGTACGTATTTCTGTTCTTGTATATTTGAAAAGGTAATAGAGGAAGGTGTATATTATATATGCATACTATGCTGAAATGCTTTACTGACGAGTCTCATTCACTGTTTAGACTCCAGGTTCTTCTCGGTCAACGCGCACGGTAAGAGGAGTGATGTCATAGTTTATGGATTCGAACCGATCTTATCAGCTCACAAAAAATCCATTTGAGCTGAATACTGTATTGTAGCCTTCCCAAAACTCCCGAAACTGAATCAGAATTGGTTTACGAGAAAAGTCGGCTCAAACATTGGTGAAAATGTTGTACGTAAGAGTATGCTTGAATATGGGTTTATAAGGAAACAGGTGGATGAAGTAAGTTTAATTCATATGGTTTCTAAAATGTATGTAATTTTTCTTTGCAGGAAGCGATTGTTAGTGATAGAGCTCCTTCCCCAGCCGCAGAACCTCTGATTCTCTCATGGAGTAAGTCACTGCCGAATAAACTGTACAAATTTTTTTCGGGAAACTTATTTAAACCGCACAAGCAAGAATACTTGGTTACAAATAGTGAAAGCCTTGTTTTTATGGCATATTTGTCCCTTCCGCCTCTATCACAAGTTTGCATTTTACCTGGCGGGGAGGGGCTGGGAACTGCCCCATGTAAACTGTGTAGTTGGGTGTCGCGTGTATAGTTTTGCTTTGGCCGTATGGGTCTGGTAACAGGTTTACATTTTGATCATTATGGTGGGAAACACGGGTAGGATTTTTGAGGGACGTGCGGGAGAAAGAGAGGATAATGTACAAGGATAGCTAAGGATGGCTAAGATTAAAATGGATTATAAATGACGAACTTGAATATTTTAGGCTGAATAAGTTAAGACCCAGAAACCACGATTTAGCTCGTCCAACAAAATCTTGATGCTTGTCTCTTTCAGCCGCCTTGAAACAAGCGATTCGAGACGGCGACACCCTGCTGGTGAGGCGTGCTCTTGCTGTGCCTGGGTTCAATCCGGATACCATCGACACTGCATCAGGAATGACACTACTCATGTGGGCCGCGACTTGTGGCAAGGATGACATCGTGAGGCTTCTATTGAAAAAAGGAGCTGGTGTAAACACTGATCAGAAAAGAACCGGAATGACAGCACTCATGCATGCTGCAGAACAGGTCTGTGGAGAAATGTTTGGCGGGTAGGGATAGTGCAATGAAGAAAGGGCGCGCCTCCCACCGCCGTGTTGTGCCTTGTGGTCTGCTCCTCCTCTTCCCTCTTTGGGTAGAATTTGTTGTCGGCCCTTGTCCATGTTCCGAGGATTTTTCTCGTGGTTCTCTTGTTTTCATCTCAACGATCCGCCTTCCATTCGAACTTCCAACCTCCAACTTCCATTCGACTCGGACGAGGAGCCTTTAAGTGATTGTGTCTTGGCTTAAAATCCAATGTGATTTTGGTTTTTCATTTTCAATAATCTAACCGCGGTGTGATAAAGAACAACTGTAGAAAAGGCTGGACAGGGAATGACTGTTAAGTGGTTGGTAGTCGTTTCCTTTGAAGCTATCTTCCGGCTCGTTACTCCTCGCGTGTTCTCCGCTGAGGAAGACATCCTCTTCGTGAAGTACAAATGGGCACTACTAAGTTTATCGTTTTTTTTTCAGGGTTTTCCAGAAACTGTGCAAATCCTGCTAGAGTGTGGGGCCCACATCAATTGGCAACAGCCGGCAGGCGAGACGGCACTCATGAGGGTCAGTGGTCATCGTGAATAACACACGTGCTTTTTTTATAGGAATAGATAATTAGACAATGAACTTTCACTTATGGTATATTTTTGGTAGGCGTGTAAGAAAGGCCATGAGGAAGTTGTTGGAGTGTTATTGAAGCATGGTGTGGACACAAAAGTTCAGTCAAACTACGAGCAGACCGCTATACAAATCGCTGTGAGAAACCAGTATTTTGAAATACAAAATTTGCTCTCAGAACACGAAAAAAGGTTAGATCTTATTAGTCATCTTTTCTTTAGCAATGTGAGTTTATCTTTAGCTTTACCCAGGAGAGAATGAAGTGGAGAGACTGAAGCCCCCCTTTCTCCTCTTCAGTTATTTTAGACTTAGGTACCCAGTCTCCCTCCTCGAGTGTTGCTTGATTGTGCAGATGGGGAATGGATATCGTATGGTATAGACAAAGGATAGGTTACCTTTAGATCTTATAGAAATCTCCGAAAACTGTTAAGATTACATTGACTTATGAGGGTTTATCTAAGGCAAAGGTATCTATTTATCGGGAGACTAATTCTTTTAGCGTTACTTTATCTCAACCTTTTTAATAGCATGGACAACACTTTACAAGCTGCATTGGGGAAATGTCTGGAATCAGCCGGAACTTTACGGCTCCCCTTGGTTATGCCGTATCGCTGTATTGCTCCGGGGGAGAAAGACAGGGAGACTTTCCTTATCAAATATAACTCGAATAAAGCACCTCCAGGTAAATTATATCAGCATTTGTGTCGATAACGTGTAACTTACCTTGTTGTTGCTTTTTTTTTTCCAGCACTTTGTCCAGTTGATCAGTTTATTCTTCAAACTTAACCAAACTAAACTTACTAAGTAAACTGTCTCTCATGTTCTTTAAGTTTCCAGCAATTCCCAGTATGTCTATGCCGATCAACAACTGTTACATATTTGCCTCTATCTCTTATAGGCACCAAAGTGGTTTTATTTTGTGTGAAAGCTGATTTTTACGGTGATGAAGTATGTCTTAGTTTTTGCGGTGACAATGGAGTACGCTCAATACTGCTAAATTCCAGTATACAGTATCCACTGGTTCAGGTCAGTATTGTGGGAAAATAGCTTTTTCCGCCTTTGTTCACGAGCCTCTTTTTTAAATCACGTTTCATATCACAAAATCTTCCTAGATTTCAATTCTTTTTGCCGCAACTATTAACAGCTTTTCTTCGCCGGACAGTCAAGTAGCCTTGTAGCTTTGAGGAAATACACGGTATACTCCTATTAATCCATAATCAGTAGCGGTAACTGGTAGGAAAGCCGTCTAAATTCGTTTTTTGGGGGGTTATTGTTTGATGTTTTGGATTGTTTGATGATTTGGGCCTGACCATGCCCAACGCCCAATTCCAAATTTTTAAGGAAGATATCCTCGTATAGACAATCTCATTTCACTGGGGCCCGTTTCTCGAAAGTCCCGGCGAATTAACGGGCTCACAGCTATATTTAGAATCAAAATTTATGAAGAATGGCGGAGCAGATTCTGGCACCCTAACCAATTCATTTTGTTTCTTTAGCCGAAGTCTTATAAACTCCCGTACTGAATGAAAACAGAAGTGCTTTACGGCCCCGATAAGTTACCGGGATCTTCGAGAAACGGGTCCCAGACCCGACCCTTAACGATTCATTCCTAGCGCGAGTCGATTGTATCCGATGAATGACGAAAAGCTAAGACGTGACGCCACACTAGACGCAAAATATTGGCTGATTAATTACTTATCGAGTGTCTGCCTTTTGTTTATAGGGTAACAGATCTGTGTACCCCCTGAGTCTTGACAGTGAATTACCAAGCAATGAACTCACTGTGGAAACACACCTAATCAAGAGCAGACTGATTGTTTGCGTCGCTAACGTGAGTCCAACCAATGGCGATAGTTGATGTACAATCTGAGAAATTATTATTTAGTGGACGGATTATAAATGAATTGTAATTCTTAACGGTCATTTCATAGCCAAGAAATTATTTATTGGAAGAGATGAGCGTGCGCTCTTCAAAAGTGAATACATAATTATATACTTTTTAATAAAATTTCATATCTAAGGTGAGTCGATGTTGTTACGTTGTGTTTGTTTTATATTTGACTGTAGCACGCAGGAGAGAATAAAGGGAAGGGGAAGGGAGGTTGGGGAATGAGGGTTTTAGTTCGTCGGGACCATGAGTTCCAGCTTCATAGAGCCCAGGCTCTCTCATTTCCCCAAGCCGTAGGTTTTGGAGTGGAATGGGAGGAAGAGTCGGGTTCCTTATTACTTACTTAAGGTAGAACTGGCTGCAAACGAGATTGCACTCTAACAGGCCCTTGTACATTATTTTTACTCTATTTCCGACAGGATTTCGATTCCAGTGGTATGTTCCACAAACTAGTGGTACTTTACACTAAATAAGCTGATTAAGATGGGGCTGGGGGGGGGGGGGGGGAAATTACCCCTCTTTGTCAGAACTGGTTGCATGCTTGAAAATGGTCATTTAAATCACATGCCCTTGGTGATCCTGTGTCCAGATAGAAGCATCACGTTTTCTACAAACTATTTGAACAAGCCATTTTCTATATGACCCAGTGCCATGGCATGGCTGACCTACTGTTTGCAAGATGATTTTGGTTGCAAAAGTTGAGTTGATAATATAAATTGGCCACTGCTAAGAGTTTCAAAACTGACACTTTGAGCATTAGCCCTTCTTCAGAGTGAAATTTAGTTAATTAAGGCAACACTGAAGTTTTAGCAAGCACTTTTACTCCAAAGCTGTCATCTACATTAAGTCTACAGTTACTTTCATATGCCCAATGACTGGTGCAAAAGTCCCTTTACAAATCAATTTTAACGTGAGGCCACTCACAAACACCCTCCACATCTTTGTGACAGTCAACATCAAATCTTAGAATGACCACAAATTTATCCCAAGATAATCATTTAGTCACAGACCTTCACTGACATTACTGTTCCAAGCCTCATAAAACATTACAGCTTTCTAACCTGCTTGGTCCAATGGGTTTTGCATTCTTTTGAAATTTTAACTAACTACATCCATCTTAAGAAATAACATATCACTGTAGGCCTAAACTGTGTCATACAACGTGTATTGAAATGTGTTTTAAGTTTCAGTTGTCTTGTACTGTCTTGAATTCCTTGTAATTCTTATCATCAAACCCTTGAGAATATGTTTTCTCAAAGGTAATCATGTTAGACACTTGAACTCATCAAGTACAAGAAGACTAGAAGAGTTAGCAGCCTTGCATTAAAACAAAGGTAAGTTTTCAGAAGACAATGCCTGGTCTCTTAAGATATCCAGGCTTTGGATGAGCACAAGCCAAGCTAACCAGAAGGAAAGTGGTCAAAATATTGCCACAGAAACTGGATTTGAGTAACCTAGAAGACTTTTTTTTTCTTGATTATATATATACCATAATGCTGAAAAAACCCTTGCTCTAAAAGCTTCTTTTTTCAAAAGTATTATTAGCTAACAATGTGCAAAAGAGTAGAACTACGTCAGAAGTGTGACCTTAAACACTAGCTTTGAATCTATTCAGCAGCTGCTGGAAGATACTCTTGAATGTCTCAGGTGGTTGTGCACCTGAGAATCCAGCAATCTTCTGGCTTTCTCCTTTAAGGTGGATGTTGAAGAAAGGCACTCCATGGACTCCTTCATCATGAGCCTCCATGGCTTCCTCTTGCACTCGTGAAACAACTGATTTGTCCTTCAGGTGCCTAAATAAGATGCAAACATTGTTAACAACTGGCTAATAAAATAATGAGTGTTGTTCAGAACATGAACTGGACTTAAAAACCAAATATGTTTTCCATAGGAAATTTATAAAATGAGTGACTGAATAGGATTTAATAAATGACTCAGGGCCTCTTCACATGAGCCCAGTTGACTAGGCTGGCTTGTTAACCAAGACAAATTTTGTCTTGGGTTCATGTGAGAAATTTCAATCTGTGTACTTAAATGAGAGAAGGGGCTAAAAACATTTCTGGCCTGGTTCCTGAGATCTTACAGGGAAAAACCGAGATCTCAGGATCCGAGGCCAGATCACCTGTTCATATTAACACATCAGGATTTTTTAAGAGAATTAGGGATGCGCTGAGATATTGAAAACCAGGCCTGCCTGATCAATGAGGCTCATATGAAGAGGCTTTACTGACTTGTTAAACCCAACTATCAGACTCCACTATCACATATTACCCCTTGGTTCAAACCATTTACTAATGAGAAATTATTATTACACTGACTGAACAAATGACCTATGCACAAAGACGTAGTAATATGGACATATGAAGTGTGGTAACATCTTAAAAAGTAAATACAACAACTAGTCAAGTAAATAATAACAAAACAGCTCATGCCCAAGGAAATGAGCATACTTAAGTTTAGCATTAAAATCATATTTCAATAATCTTTCGTATGTAGGAAAGGGGTAAGATTATCGACAAAGATACTCACTTTTCCATAGCATCTATGTTGAGCCCAGTGTCTACTGCAACTTGTGCCAAAACATCAGTGGAATTGATATTCTTTCCTTGTTCAAAATATATTTTGAAAAGGTTCTCTGCCAGAAGATTTTGCTTCCCCTCTGACTTGGCATAATCCAGCATACAATGAGATTTTAAAGTGTTGACTATGAGACGATCTGTTGTGAAATTGATGCCCTATTATGAGAAAGAAGAACATAAGATAAATTAGTACTCTGCTGGACCATAATCATCCAACATAGGCAGTGACATCCCACTAATTTGTACACTACCCTGACTGTTTGTTGATACCTAACACTTTGTACTCCTGTGTGGTTAGCCCTTTACACCCCAACATCAGTATGCATATTCTCCATACTGTTCTCTATACATTTCCTATAGTGCTGACAAGGAGAATTTGTTTAACAATCAAAAGCTTCTTTAGTTAATGGTTGTTTCCTTTATTCTTGTCATCCTAAAGTACAATTCAGGAATAATATTGTAAGGAGAATTTTGATGCTGGTCACTCTTTGGGGTCACATGGTTACATGAGGGTTATCTGTGACAGTCAAGTGTCTTGCTCCAGGATATGAACAAAAGATATAATCATGGCTAGAATCTGGAGCTTTTGATCTTCTGTGGCACTCTTATAACTGCCCACTGCAGCTTGAATTTTCATATGATTGTAGTTGTTCATTACCTGTTCTGCTCTGGATCAATTTTTTTTTTTTGCTTATCTAAGGGAGGGGGGGGGGGGGGCATTATTAGCCTTATAGTCTCAGTATATCCATGGGTAGATGGAGTTCTAAAAAGTAAGTAGGAAACTAATTTGAGCTTGTTTTGGTACTCTATTTCTTAAAATGTGGGAGCTCCAAATTTGATGTGGCATTAGATACCAAAAATGATGTTATAATCATTACCACATTCAACCCAGCTTTTGTCAGAGGACTAGTCCCATCCTTGGCCATGGCACCTGCCCTTGGTCCATATTTTTGTGTCAGGTATTGAATGAGAGGTATACCAGCCTCAGGAGTTGTAGGGTTCAGGAAGAAAGGCTTCCATGTCACCACAAATGACAAGTCGTTGGAAAACACCTTCATGGCCTCCTCCAGATGGCGTTTTCCAACAAAACACCTGAAGGAAAACAAAGGGATATGATCATTCTATCTGAAAAAAGTGTGACAAACACGATCTTCCACAAATAAAAAAACAATTAGATGCTAATCTTTTTAAAACGCAATGTAGCCTGACATTGCTCTGTAGTGTGGGAATATTAAGGCCTTGGGAGAGCAAATTCAAAGTTTATCACCAAATGTAGTACAGCTTAAGGAATACAGGGCCACTTAAAATGCTTTCAAGAATTAAGAAAGGCACAACAGGATTCCATGAATAAATTAAGAGGCCCTTTCTTCTACAGTTCTTCACCCACTGATTTTCAATTTTGTACACCTCTCCGTGTGCAAATTGACCAATATCAGATTTTTTTCGTTGAATAATTTTGGGATGTTTCCTATATCTTTTAGCAGTCTGTAGAGCGTTTTTGAGGTCTTCCCCAAAATTGCAATTGTGTGAGCGCCAAGGGCGAAGATTTAATTGGAAACGATTTCCAACACAATCTAAGGCATATTTTGCCGAGGCCCGTGAAATCCCGTTTTCAGTATCAAATTTACTTCTCCTTTTCCTAATCACGATATAAGATTTTTTCGTCTTAATCACGGCTTCGCACAGCAATTTCTTCTCGTTCGTTGCAAGATTTGACGGCAGGGCATGCAGCTGACGAGTGTTGCGCTTCACTGAATTGTTAACGCTTAGAATGACTCATCATTTCAATCCTGATCGATTTTACCAGTACTTACCATGGTCAGACGGTGTCAGAAATAATGTCTATCAACACAGATGGCTTCTCACGGCTCATTATGGCTTAAACGTTAGAATAACAGCTTCGAAAAGATCCTTTTGCCCAGCAAACCAAACAAACTTCAAATCTCAGCGGGAGTGGGAGCGAGAGCGAGACTTGTTACGATTACGTTATGTATGATACCGTGAACGTGTCCGTAGTTATCAATCGGCACATTCCATTAAATGGAGCCCTGTATCTCCAAAATGAATGGTGGCCAGAAAACTTTTACCACCCGCGAAACCTAGGCTCGGAGACGACAGTGAAAAAAGATAACAGGCTACGTAAGAAAGGGACTTACAAATTTGCGGATGACAATAAAATCCCTGATATTTCTTGGTCTTTAAATCCTTTACACAATAACAATGTGCATATTCTCCATACGGTTCACCATAAATTTCGTATGGTACTGACAAGGAAAATTTCCTTATCAGTCAGAAGCTCCTTGAGTTGATGATATAAATACTTATGTAAATATATATATATATATATATATATATATATATATATATATATATATATATACATATACATATTTTTTTATTTTTTATTTTTTATAAAGAAGTCTATGTTTCCGTTTTTCCGTATTACAGTGCTCAATATATAGAAGTAGCTTCCGAAGAATGATCTAATCACGAAACAGGCTTGTCATGATAAAGTGTTGTCTCTTTGTTTTTTCCCTAGCTCAATTCATATATTTTTTGTATATATTTGTGATCTTAATGCTCAATTCAACAGTGACAATGCAAAGAGAAATTAGCCACTACACATAGGCTGGGGTTAAAAGGTTGAGGTGAATCCACATTTATTTTTCTAACCTAAAAGAGCCTTACTCTCATGAAAAACAGAATAACAAGGAAAGGGGAGTTGACCACATAACACAAAATGTAAAGATAATTCACTTTAATAGAGGATTTCTTTGGTATTTACAAAATTATCTCAATGCTATGGAGATACAATGAGGATACATGAATTGTGTATAGTCTTATTATAACTGAGGTGGAAATGCTTAAATATTGCTTAGCAATATTTCCTTAAATATGATGCGGTGTTTTTCTCTATAAAAACAGGCAAGAAATGTGTATTTACAGGAAAAATAAAATTTTCACCAAATATGTGACATGTTTTTAGATGCAGCTCAGCTAAATCAGAGAATTTTGGACCTTTGTGACCCATTTTTGACCCAATTGCCATCAGGAGTCAAATTACAAGGTTTTCCCACAAATTTAAAGATTTTCCTCCCTGAGAGGAAAATCTTTCTAAGACAGTGGAGAAAAGTTCAAGCAACAACCTGAAGGCTTTCAAGTTTAATTTGACTGAGTGGCATTGTAAATGATCAAGATAAGTGTTGATTTAAATGTGACCGAGAAAAATAGAATTGTAATATTCTATGTGACCACATCACAATCTTCACTGTTTGGTCTGCTTCTTGTCCACGATGATCCTCGAATAGGAGGAAGACTGTTTGGTTCCTGTGTGAAGAAATAAGTCATTGTCATTGTATAATTATAGACACATTGGAATAACATGTTCAATTTAAAGAGCTTGTTCAGAAGCAGTACTCAATATAAATGCCTCTCATGGGAAGAAAAGTTCTTTGCTATTTAAGAATTTCAATAATTGAAGTTATGAATGTGAATCTTTGCAAAATTTACCTCATCGCCTTCTGGGATTGATAATGAAGGTATGGCTTTGTTTCCTGAGAAAATACAACACATGAAAGAAATAAAAAATTAAGGTAGAGTTATTTCATGACAAGGTATAGTTTGAGTAAATTTTAGCCTTTTTGCTTCAATAAAAACTCAACATGTTTATCTTAACTCAAGACTACTATCTGAATTATCATTAAATATAGACTGACACAAGAAGAAGCCCACAGACTGAATAAGAACAAAACAATTACAGTGTTATGCCAAGAAAGCGGTGTCTGTGTCAGCCTATTGCCCAGTTTTCTTTACTAATTAAGATATTCACGTGGCAATCTGTGAGTCATTTACGTCACAAGGGTCTCTTTCACAGTACCTGATGTACGAGGTAGCCCCAATGGCTCTAGTCTTCTCGGAGATACTCCACTACTTCCTGGAAATCCATTTAATGTACTCGATGGAGTTCCCCAAGCATTGAGTGGTGGAAGTTCTGTTTCCTCTCCTTCCATTGGAGCTGTTTTATTTAATTTTTTCTTTTTCTTTTTCTTCTTTTTTGTTTTCACTTCACTATCCTCTGGTGTAGTATTTTCATGTACAGGCAAACTTTCTCTCATTTCACCCCAACCTCCTTGTTGTAAATGCTCTATTGTTTCATCGTGAGTTTTGGACCTATCTTCAATTAAGTGCTCTTCTAGTGGACTAGGATTACTGAGGGTTTGGTCTTCTATCTGTTTGGAAAAAAAAGACACAACTGAAAAGTTACATGTGCACATTCCTTCCAAGTTCCCCTCAGTACTTGAACCCTATAGATACTCTCACAGTTACAACAAAAACACATGCTTCCATCATGAACATACATTTCTAGTATCTTGTCCATCCACCATGTCCTCATCCTGTTTTGTTTTCTTTTTCTTCTTACTTTTCTTCCCTTTCTCTGTTGCATCAGGCTCATGATTATTTTCTTTCCCCTTTTTCTTTTTCTTGGATGAGGTTTGAGGTTCTGGTGTATCTCTGTCTTTCTTCTTTTTGTCCTGATTTCAGACCAAAAGAGTTTAGTTCAAATGCTTGGATGAAATACCACACCCAATCTGGTCTTAATTTTGCTTAATGAAATGACATATAATTATGCATCAATCTGTAATAGCACAGATCATTTACCCACTAACAATCTTGACCAGTATTAAATTCTAAACCTACCTTCATCAGAACAATATATAACTTATTTACTCCTTGTCACACGAGGCCTCTTTTGTTGATGACTAAAAATAGGGGCTTAAGTACCTATGATGGTAAAGAACTGCTTTCTAAGTATCTCACCTTGCTAACAACAACACCATCGTCTGACTCCTCCACCTGCTGTTTCTCTCTTTCTGCAGCTTCTCTTTCAGCTTTCTCCCTAAGGTAATAGTTAAAAACAAATTTAATATCACAAGAATAACAAAATCTAATGAAAAAAGATGGCAAAGTTAATGTCTCGCACGCATAAGTCCTCTACCACCAACCTTGCCTCCCTTGCTAATCTGACTCTTTCTCTTTTGCGCTCTCTTTCTTCATCCTGTGCCTTTTTCTGCAATTAACAAGGAAATGATTCAGTCATTATTTTAGATAATAATTGCTAGAAACTAGACGTTAACTAATAAGTTAGCCACAGATTAGCAAGTTTCAGGCAATCAGTTTCTAAACATAACAAAAGAGTGTAGTGACAGAGCAAAAAGGTTAAGGTACTGAGGTTTGAAAGAGCTGTACCCCACTCAAACCTTTCTTCCTTTTCAGCTTAGCTCTCAGAATGTTTTTCTCCGGCAGAGCCATCAAGTCATCCACACTACAGATAATTCTCAACAGTAATTCTCAAATGATCCAAACCTCCCTATATGAGCTTTTATTGTAGACAACAGACAAAAATGCCCCCCACCCCTCTCCCTCGCCCTCTAGAATGGCATGACCAGGCAAGAAATAGCCATACCGCCCTGCCAGATGCCTGCTGAAAAAATAAATTCTATGACTGAGATGGTTATAATCACCTGTTCAGCCATGTCTTTCTCCACTCTTCTCGACAGATTGACATGATCATTGGATATTTCAGCAAGGAGCCATCGGAAGCCTATAGATATCATATAAACAAGAACAATTAGACGCAAGTGATCTTTTTAGATTTCCCAAGCATCCTTTCTTTCTATTCAGGGCTGCCAATTTTTATTCTTTATATCATCCTTAAGAATGCAAAACATTTGAGGGAAGAAGTACTGAATTACTCACCAAGTTATAAAAAGAGGTTTACGAGTTTGACAGTTTCTATAAAAATTTTCCACATAAACATGTTAACAAATGGTTTTCAACTCACCTTTTTTAATTTGTCTATCTATTTTATTTCCTCTACCAAGTACTGCTGAACAACAAAACTGGTGGAAGATAAGAAATGATCTGATTAAAACATCTTTAAAAAAAATGATTTCAAATAATGCTGGCAAAAAGTCACAATCAGAAATAACCTGAATGTAACAACTTACCACTTTACATGGACAACTGTATTTTTCAGCAAGTGTGTCTAGCTCAAGCTGCCTGTGTAGTTCATTTTCATTCAGAGCTCCCTCCTTATCCTGTTTATTTCCAAGTCTTTATACAGAGAAAATTTAAGATGAGTTAACAATTTGTGTAAAAAAAAGGCTAAATTGATTTTCTTAGCCATTACATTGTCACAGAAATATAAAGAATGTTAACTTAAGAATGTATTACAATGTAAAATTGTCCAAAAGTGCTTGTGACAAAAAAAGAAAGGTTTATGATCTAGCTCTAGTAAGGGACTCTGTGTCGTGTTCTTGAGTAAGAGAGCTAGTAACTGTCCATGCTTCAGATTCTAGACCCTGGGGCATCTGTATATGGGTCATAGAAAACTTTTAAACTTGACAAACTGCTAGAGAAGGGGGTGGGGGGCAGGAGGAAAGGGGGAAGGGGGGAGGGGATGTTAACAGGACTGGTCATACCATTCAGGGGAGAAGTAATAATATGTGTTGCAGTCTTGAAAACAGAAAAAACCATACATGTGTGACAGGTTGTTAAATATTCATAAGCATAATTTGGAGTGTCTTCTTACACGAGTAAAGGTTTTCCTGCTACACGGGGTTGCATCTCTGTTTCATAAAGAGCTTTCTTGCTTTCCTCTAGCCTAGTTGTGTCACTGGCATCTATCACAAATACTATTCCATATGACTACAAAACAAAAATGAAAAAGAAATTAATCAATCCATAAAAGACTTTAAAAAGATTTTAATGTAATAAACTCTATAGATTTTAAAATTCAATCACACAAAAAATTTCAACAGCAAGAAAAATTCATTAACTGATAATGTACACTTGTAGATTCTGACCTCAGCATAATAATTTTTCCAAATTGAACGAATCTTAGCACCACCTCCTACATCAAATACTGTCACACTGAATCTATACAATGAAAATGATGAGTTCAA